CACTATCCGCTATTAAACAAAACAATGTATGATTGTGCCAGAGGCACTTCACGTTTTGTGATGAGGGCATAAAAAATATTTATTCATTAGGGGATATCAAAATTATAATGGGTAATTGGGGAAACAGCTGATGACTAATAAATTAAAGCTTAATTTCTGACATTAAAGTAGTGGGGATAGCTCAGGATTCAGCATGATAATCTGCCAAGTACAGTAAATAATATGGTTTTTATTTTAAGGATTTGAAAAACATTATTTGAAATAAATCAACACAACCAAACTTGCTAAAGAATGTGACCTTCAGATGCATAATTTGGATGAACTAAATCACATATCATCTATAACATAAATCTGTTTTTTTTCCCTTATCACCTTTTTTTCCTTTCAAATTTTACACAGCATATTTCAGCTGCCTACATCATCTTTGCATCACTAAATTCTGATACTTAGCCATAATCCACAAAAGAAGTTACACACTGGCTAAAAGAAATACATAATTTCTTAATGCCCACGCATTCTGGCAACCAAACCTCACATAACCCTGAAAGTTTGTCAGACCATATTTGGTTGGGCTGTACTTTACTGCCCAAACAGTGGCAGTGAGTCAGTTGGCAATATGGTTGGCAACAACTCGTCTGCTGTCACTTATAAAATGGTCTCAAAGAGAAAACACTGAAAAAGTAAGAATGAATCTTTGATTTTGATAAGTTATTTGAGCCATAGTCATGATGGGTATGGGGAGGTCAAAATGGCTAATTTTGTACATGAAAAATGATTTTGTTAATATTCACAAAAATGATGTTAGTTACTCATTTCCACTGTACATTATTTAAACTAAAAATAGAAGGTAGCTTAAGTTTACTTCTTTGCGAAAGGAGTTCATTGCTTATCAAAAAAACATATTGACTTCAATATATTCTGAACTTCTCAAACAAATTTTGGCACATGACAGTTTTATCTAGTATTTCAAAGGATGTAATATATGACTTTATTTTATTTTTTTATGTAATTTTTGGCACTATAACATATGGCACTGCTTAAATTATTTATATAATATGTTGGTTAAAATCCCTTTCCTTTCTTTTCTTTGCCAGCCTCCCTGAAATCAAAGAGATAGTCTGAGGAAGCTCTGCGAAAACATGTGCTGTCCTCACTGGAAGTATGGTTGAATAGATATGCAGTGTGCATGTAGTGTTTAGCATCTTTTAAAAGACAGAAGCGCTTAGAAATATTTAATAACTTTATGTAAAATGCTATTTATTGGGATCTCATTACAGATTTCATTAACCTCAACTGACTCAGAATTTGTAGTGTCTCTGCAATGAGAATAAGGGCTCTCATTAATTTATTTAGCCATTCATTCATTCCATAAGTACTTCTGTTCAACCAATGTTCAAAGCACATCTTGAACCATAATAGAGGCAAAAAGTTTAAATGGTTTTCTGCTGAAGTTCAAACCAGGGGCCAGAAAGTAAGAAATGTGACTTAAATCATGGTTGTAAGTCAGGCAGATGTTTCTTAAACTGCTGATCTACAGAGTGCTTCTTTCTTTCCAAAAAAAAAAGAGAGACAAAGAAAGAGCATGAAAGAAGGAATTGCTTCTTGAAAGGTAATAAAATGGACAGTGAGTGTATATAATTTGTGTGATAAATGTTCATGTTTTATCATTGTTAATATCAGTACACATGCTAAAAGGTACTATTTGCACATGGCAACGCTCCAAGACATGATTTGCAATATATTGGTTATTTAATGATGAACTGATTTAATAACTAAGTCAGTTATTCAGTCCCTTCACTATAGTATCACAGTTAGAACATTTTAGAGTTCATTATTTTAAACCATGGTTTTAATTTTTTTTGTTTTAATTCCAGATACATGAATGAATCAAAAACTGAGCAAAAACTGGTTAAAGATGGAAACTACAAATTCATTCTTCTAACATGAGCCTTATGGGCCAAAGGAAGCCACTGATAAGCGGTACAGTTAGAGATTAGTGAGGATCAAAGTGGACATTAAATAGGATGAGAAACACACTGATGCACTAATTATCAAGTCTGTGAAATATGATGAATTGCTTTGGATTTCAGAAACAACTTTACTGTGGCGTTAGTAAAATATTTTCCATTGGCTCTACACGCTAACCCAATTCAAAACGATTTGTGACTGCAAAGGAGTAAATATGGATGTGGACAATTACACAAGTGATCAACTAGTGAAAGATGCACAGGCCTGCAGTCTTGCCTTTCTGTCCTATCTCTCACACACCTTACAACATTATTTTATTGCTGCTGAGCCCTGCAGGAAATCACTTGTGATGTCTCGTACCCTCCAAAAACATCATGAATAATGAATGGAAGATCTCAAAATAAATAACACACATTATTAATGTATTCAGAGCCTCATTTAGAGGGGGCAGCTGTAGGTGCCACAGCACCCCTTTCTCACTAAATATGTGAGCATGTAGAATCACAAAGAACACTAAACAATGGGAAGGGTATTGTGCACTTCATCAAATCTGCAATGCAACTGTAAAATAACAAAACCAAATAATGGAGAAATGGGAATTTTAGAGCGAGGAGAAGTAGGGCGAACGTTGAGTGAAGAGTGTGTTGGAGTGGTCAAAAAACTCCTGGGCTTTCAATGGGCAGATGGCACACTCAACGTTTTAGGTCACACAAACACAATTTTCACCCACCATTTATTCTTTGTCTGTCCACAGAGAACAGATTTATAGTGCATGATCCTGTAAATATCCACAAAAACGACAAGAATCTCACTGAAGATTGTTTTTTGGGGTTCTGAGTTGTACCCAGTTCTCATGACCAGTGATCGTTCTAAATATGAAGGTTAGATCAGAAAAAGAAACTGAGGTTTGCTGTTTGTGCAACCGTGAAATAGGTGGTCAAGAAGTGAATGAGGACGCAACTTAAAAAATTTAGTCAGTCAAATGATTTCTTGCTTTTGTTGCTAGAGCTGCAGAATTACACATGGCCACCAACCTCTGAGGGTGTTTTTAGTCATCTGGCCTCTGGTTGTGCAGCGTCTTTGGGTCCTCTGGGTTATTAGGAGAATTCTTGTTTCTTGTTCTGGTGCTTGTTTAGTTTAAATCTTGGAATTTGGGAGCAAAGTAAAAATTCTGGACTTTGTGTCAAGTTGTTCATATGCACTTTTGGTGGTGAGGTACAGCACATTTTGTGCCTGGTCTGAAATTGTGTTTAGGTGGGCTATGGAATGAAGCCAACAGCTACAAAAATGCCAGGGCTCAGAGTGTCCCAGCAAAGCATTTTATTCTGATAAAATGTTGAAAAGCTTTTGTCACCGGTCACTGGTTTTGATATTTTGGCTGCTGAGTGTATAATCTATATAAAATGATACAGCTGCCAATATATGCATAATGTTTGGGCAACATTATATTATAGTTACATATGTCTACATTTTGTCCAGCCTGAGAAAAAGTTCAGGATGTACAAACATTTTCTTTTGAGTGACTGAACGAGACACGAAGAAATACCCAACATGATTATAACATTATCTAATTGCATCCCAACACATGAATTATTCAGCTCCTGACAATGCAATATTGTCATGGAAAGGAAGAGATGTTTGTGTTAAGCTGCCACTGGCACTACTTTTTCCCTCTCTTCTTACAAAACAAAAACTTTTTTCCAAGGGCGTCATTGCAAAGCGATAATAAAGGGAAGAAAAATAAATAAAATAAAGGGCAATCATTTTGAGGCCTGCAACACCACTGTGTGTTTGTGTGTGTGTAATTCATATTGTTCTTGTTAGGCAATTATCATTTTTACAATGCCAATGGTGACCATTAGTCTGTAAGGGAGCATTCCTTGCCCTTGTCACTCTGAGAATGACTGGCCCCACACGTCTTACTCTGTACTAAAGCCACCTTCACCTCTTGCCTGATATGTGGTCTACCAGTGGTCAGCTTGAGAACAGCTGATTGGCTTGTCCGGCCATAGATATTCCAACTCAAGCAGCACTGGTGTCCTGCTGTATGATGAAACACTATAGCTAACTTTGACCACAGAGAATGTTCCTGCATACTTGTATTATAATAATAAAAAACGTTAGAAAGATCAAAAAGAGTGAAATGATATTCTCTACTTAAACAAAGAATTAATGGCAAATGCCTTTAGTTTTGTTTTTGCAATTCACATCAAATGTGCAAAAATTATATTTGCTAAATTATACTAAATTGATTGAATTTCCCACACCTTTCTGCTTTTAGACACTCGACATTTTCACGTGGTATCATTTTTAAAATTGAATGCGCCAAAGCAAAACTAAATAAATAAATTGTGTAACTGTGCAAATAGCTACAGTTCGTTGTGATGGTTTAGTTAAGAATATGTCAAATGGCGTGCTTGAATACTCAAGCGATTTTATACATTAAAAGGTTTAATTCATGCTCTGAGGCAAATATGTAGCAAGAAGATTTTACTGAAAAGGGGGGTTTACTTAATGATGTCTCCCTCAACTGGAAAGCAAAGAGGGTGGTGCTCTTTACTACCATATGCCAGACACACAGACAGGCAGGTCGACAGTTATGAAGACAGATGAATGATGCAACGCCTTCAGCACTGAGGGAAATGAGATCAGATGTTGACAGCTAGATCGACAGATCCCTGGTCTGGCATTCAAATGTTTTCTCACATCTCTTATTGCATGGTTCATGAATGGATACACTCTACAAGATAAGACATACTGTAACTGGCCTATCTGTAAATAAATGCTTTGCTTTTTTCCCTTTGCTCTATTTTATACATGCTGTATAATATACCTGAGTTTAGCATATGTGCAGTACAGCAGGTTGCCTAAGATAAACGCTTCACAAGCAATAATCTTCCTGAAGACCTGAAGTCTTTGGTGTCAGCCGCCATGTTAAAAAACTGCATCGTGTAGGCCTATTTCATAATTCATGTACAACTCAGCCAGCATTTATAAATAAGTTCTAAGGTGCTGAAGCCTGTGAGGGAATATAACACATATTAATCGACCTCCAGAATTGTCAAAGGTGTTTCTTCTCTTATCTTCCATTCTCATTTACTTTGTTTTATTTGCAGTATAGCATAGGCCCCTCTCTCCTGATGATTCTTACAGCATTTTAAAATACAAATAGACATGATATAAATAACCCAATATAAACAAAATCTAGTCTGTCATGGGAGAGCAGTCCTATGCGACAATCTGCCCGAGGCCATCATCAGAATACCATACACCTAACAGCAGAAGCGAACCAGTAGGTGGCAGTGGCGTCCCATTTGCAAGATACACATGGGAGGAATCTGTCTGTCTCTGCACTTAAGCTAAATCACTCTCTTTCTTTCTTCCTCTCTGTCGCTTGCTTGCTTGCTTGCTCGCCTGCTGGATGTTTTCTGCCACGCACGCACACACTAATAAACAACTATTTGTGTTTGTTTCCCCCTTTTTTTAAACTGACCAGTGAATAAAAGGGGCGATGGTAAAGAATCGGTTAATGAATGCCAGTCTTCAGGACGACATGAACGCACACGGTGAAATTTTAGAAGCTGTAGAAGTTCAAAGAGAGCACCATGAAGACTGAAAGAGAGGGAAAACAATATCTCCTGCCCTCGCTGCTCCAGTCCTGCGGTTGACGGCAGAGTCGATCCACCAGCAGTGACTGGCGGAACAGTCTCAGTTGGAGAAAGCAGCTTGTCAGTGGGAGGTAACCTACATGATGCCCCCTCCTGAACTTATCAATTCATCGTCCGTCCGTGCTGCTCCCGGCGTTTTATTTTGGTACGAAAATGCTGAGCGCACTGAGGCACTGTAAAGCGCACCGATGGATACAGCCTGCTTGCGCGTCTTGGAACGGGTTATTTTGTGAAGCAGCCTAAAACACACGGCAGTCTACAAGAGAGAGAGGGGAAGCCTGGACTTGGACAACCACCCATTTGTGGATAATAACCCTAAAAAAAAATTAAACATTAAATAAAAAAAACCTTACCCCGGTGTGTGTCACATCAATGGAGAGGCGAGGGTCGAATATCCGAAATATACAGCGGGGGCGCAGAAGTGATGACAGCCTTTGATGAACCATAACTCCCGTCCAGACAAGGTGAGATCAAAGCTCCGTTCGGAAAACATGTAAGAATAGCGCTTTTGGTGTATAACGAAGGCTCTTCACACTTGGGAGCCGCTGCCTGAATTTGTGATGGGGTTTTAAAGGCTTCTGAAGGATACCGCCTGGAATTTTTTCTTCCGATGCTGCATCCCAGAATAACGAATTTCCCTCTTAAATATGGAGAACGGAGCAATCTGAAGAGAGAGATTATCTCTAATCGTGACAACTTTATCACTTCTCCAACCTACAGGATACCCTTTCAATCACTGTACTGCGGAACTTCTTTTTATCGGTAAAACCAGGAGGGGGAAGAGAAATAAGCATCTTGAAATCCGCACTGGGCTGTGCGGTGAAATTTAATCAGGGCTGATAGCTAAGAAGCAATAGGGACTTGATGAAAAGTTACATTTGACACGTAGGCGAGCAGTCGGGTTCTTAAAATAACCCCACCTTAACAGCTCAACGTATGGATGATGGTCTACCGTAAGGTCTACATGAAAAGCTTTAAGAGCATGTTATTGGTATCAGAGAGAAAATAAAAAGTCGTCACTTGGAGAAAATCTTGGACCACAGTGGGCATCGCTTTGCCACGAGTTGTTTCAACAATGGCACTTGTGGGTGCCTTCTGAAATGTGCGTCTTGAAAAGGGAGGAAATATCGGATGCATTATCATCACTGTGAGAGTTAATTGCATTGCATCCGGACTAATGTTTGGATTACATACAAAGTCGTGTTGAGACGTGGAAGAAAATGAGTGTGAAAAGGAAAGGTAACAAAGGATTCTCCAAAACTGCCTGAGTATTGCGGATTTTTTTTTTCGATGCAGTTTTTGCGGAGGCAGCGGAAGAAGAGCTGTTCTTCGCCGGCGGAGATCTTCCAGACCTTGGCATTTCTCTGTAAATAAGTAAGTTATTGTTTATAATGTACTGGGAGGGAAAGCATATTTCTAAATGTCTTACTATTCTCTATAGTATAACTATCCTATTCAGCCCTTTCGCTCCGTTGGATGTCAAAATGCGGAAGTTTATCTTCGCTGTTTGATGATTGATATGTACAAAATCAGCACGCAGCGCTCCCGAGGTTTTGCCATTTATATTACTTATACTGCGACCTCTAACGAAGAGATATTTAATTGTAGGGTGATTCAGAGCATCATGGAATGACGCGCGCTTTCGCATTGGTGTGCTTGTTTTAACTGCGCGTCTTCGAGTGCGCAGTATCAAGATTAGATGTCTTAAACTCTTAAAAGAAAAAGAGAGAGACCGATTTGAGCCTCTAAATTAAACAGGTAAAGAGGAATCTTTGTGAATGGAAGTGCACTTAAAGCATCTGATTTTGGTTTTTCACAATGTAACGTGACTAAACGGGGACACGCCACCTGCAATCCCTACACCCGCCTATCAATCCATCCAGTCTGTACTTCTGTGCGCTCAACCTACTTTCAGTATAGGAAAGTCTGCCATATTTTAGCACGTGTTCTTGTACGCTACAGCAACCGCGAAAAATACTTAACATCACCCTAAACATGTTCAAGTTAGATTTGAAAATCCAAGCTTTGGATGACCTAGCTGACGATTGATTAATGACCAAATATTGTGTTTTCTTCCTCTCCACCCTCCCCCTTCTTTTCTCGGGGTCCCTTACACAAAAAGCACTTGTTCACCGCCCTCCGTGGTAGCCGGAGAGGGAGCTGTCCTTTCTCCTGGTGCTGAAATTAAAAGTGGCGGCAGTCACTCATCCTCTACTCAGCTGGAAAAGGCATAGATGTTGTAGATAATGGCTCAAAAATCACAACCACTAAAAAGGATGAAGAATATCCTTGACTGTGTGCAACTAAGCAACAGATGTGATATTGGCGAAGTTCATAGCATTTCATGTGGCACAACATGTTTTGTAAATCATTTTGTAATCTGACTCATTTTACCTGCTCCTCGAATTAAAGATTAAACATTTTATTAAAGTATCAACCCCAGCACATATACATACACCACACCCACAACTCATAAAATATGCAGATAAGTACATGAAGTGCCACTGGTTTTGTGTTATGTTGGTGGTGGGCTTAAAAATAGATGTTTGTCAAGAAGGTGACAAACCAGTGTTGGTGGTAAAAGCATAAATAGAGGTGGCTGTCACTCTTGAGACAAAGAATAAATTGCATCTCTCACCTGTGAAAGTGAGAAACATGGCAGACATTATTCACCCACTTGAAAGGAAAGCCCTCCATATGATGGAGTGGCATCACCTTGGGGAGACAAATTAGACTGCTGATTTTATGTTTTTGCCCTGTCAGAGGCTTATGCAAGATAAATCCCCCCTACATTTTCCCAAGTTTGCTGATGTTTGTTGGCAGCTGGTACAGAGTGATTCATAGTAATAAGCAGAGAGACTCTTCCTCCTCCCCATTTAACACTACTCAAACCTTTTTTTCATCCCCGTGGAGATTTTCTTGGATAGGGAAGTGGGTTGTAGCTATGGGTTGTAAGGATCCAGCCAAAATAAGGAGCAAATGGGTTTGAAACTGACTGATTCACTGGACCACTCTGGATTAGTGCTTGTTTATTTCACTACACTAGATGGACAACAACTGTATCTCCAGTGTGTCCCTATTAGTCCTTCTAAACAGTAGGAAATAGCCTTAGAGCAGGTGCAACTCAGGGACCAAGTGGGACTTTCCGCTGCTCACACAAATCCAGTCTTCGGCTGATGATGTTTCTACCATAGACATCTGTTTCATGTCCAATTTCTCTAGCCATTGTTGTCTGACTTATCTATTGAAAATCATTCCAAGCAGCCGCATCAGAAAATTAATGAACTTGTCATCTGGGAAAGGGCACCATTGCAATAAGGTGCCAGGGTCTTGCAAAGCGACAGGCTGTATACCCATGTTCCCTCCCCACACTCCCTTTGTCATTTTCCCCCTCCTCAGCTTGTGACTCAGTTCAGATCAAGGCCAGCACTGTGTGCCTTATAATAAAATGTTCATTTTTCAAATCGGATTAATCTCTGTAAAGCCTGGCTTAGGACACCATTAGCATTCATTTCTTTCACTGCCGGGGACTTGTATCAATAATGGAACTACCCCTACATTTTTCATCTTCTCTGGGTATAAAATCTCTCAGGGGGTTTCATTCAGTGAGAAAGAGAACAGTTACAGTGATCCGTTATCTACTCCCTTTTGTATTGGAAACCAGCAGTGCGATGCTGGGGGTCTTGAGTGCTAGGCTAGATAGGAGCTGAAAGCCATAATGCTGGAGGTGAAAGGAGCCTTCATACGAAGATGATGTTGATAGATATGGTATAATTAATTATAATAATAATGGACTCAAGCTAAAACCATATACTTGCAGTAATAATTAATTGTGCTCTTAGCTTACGGTACATTTGGATTTTAGTATTGTGCATGTATTTTTATTAAACACCCCGGGTTTATGGCAATATTATATCCACATAGATATTATATTAGAGAAACTTGTAAGTGTGTGGAGCTCGAGAATAGGACAGAAGCAGCAAAAATATATTTTGAAGCTGTTGGAAGTGCATGTCTAAAATCCACAGTCATGGCTGATGACTGCAGATTTTAGACATGTGGGTGTGACATGTTGATTAATCATGCATAGCTGAAGAGGTAGGCGAGAAGAGAGTCACCTTAAAGGAAACATCTGAAAGATGCTTTCATAAGCCAGCGGTGGATTACTACTAATGTGATGGCTACTGACACAGTGTTGCAAATCTGCATCTTATGCAGCTATTGTGAGTGTGATAAAGAAGCTAACCTCAGTTTCTTCTTCTGGATGACGCATGTAATCTTTTGAAGAGAGTGCTGTGGTAAAATGTGGGAATTTGTCACAGTTTTGTCACTGTAAGTGACTATATCAGTGGCTTCCTCATGTAGTCGTTACAGTACTCTACCACTGTGGAAGATCATCTGAACCTGAGATTTCTTTTTTATCAACTAAACACAAGCAAGCATCTTGGGCACAGCACAGCACACATGCACCATGAATGGTATCTGCAGCAGCCCTGCTCATTAGTCATCCTTTCCTGCATGTCTGTCTGAATGTTCTGTCCAAAAGAAAGAACAGCTGAGCAGGGGGACGGCCACAGCACATTCCACCATCCAATGGATTAATCAATTGGTGTTCCAGCTCAGCCCATCCAGCTCAGCCCATCCATCTCAGCGAATAATCTGGGAGACATCATAAAAGTGCCATTCTATCATTCTAGAGGCCAGAGAGCATTGCTTCTTTTTTTCTGTCCCGGCTCCCACTCACATCGTGGGAACACTAGTAGACTGAATGAAATGTAGATAAGTGTACTCGGTGTGGCAACATTGTGCAGTGTTTGCTGGTGTTTTGAATCAACATAGATTCAAACATTTTTGCTACTGTGATTCATGGCTAATAAAGAATTCTTTCAACTCCATCACAATTGCTCTGATTCGTTGCTTCCCTTGTAAAATTCAGCTAAGAGCACTGACCTGAATTCAGGATGCGTCATTACTCACCGCTTGCCTTACATCACCCACCTTACCAGTCATGATGATGGTGTCTTTTCGACTTAGTAATCCTCACCTTCCTCTTCACTGCCAGTTTCTCTTTTCTTGACCTCACTGGAATGTCACATGCTACTAAAATGAGAGTGACAGCACCCGAGGTAGGAATGATGTGATGACTCGGTTAATAATATCTTGCTTAATAAGTACAGGGCAAACACAGACACATTCTTTCCCTCTTTCTTTCGCTGTCACACACATGCATGTGCACATGCACGGATACACACACTTCCACAGCAAATTAATATGTATGCACCACAGAGGAGTCATTCTTCCTGTCTTCAGGGCAACTGGGCAGTGTCTGTTTAAAGTGATACTGGCCCTGGCCTCCACATTAATTCTTGCTCTGCTCTTAAATTAAAAGGTTAAATGAGGTGGGAATGGGTGCCAGGCTATCTCTTTCTCCCTCATTTTACTTTTCTCCGGAATCTGCCTTATGGAGGTATGGATGTCTAAGTATTGTTTAAAAAAAAAAAAAGACAAAAATTAAATTGACGGCAGGTTACAAAAGAAGACTTTCCCCTCAAGTGCTGTTTCCTCAATCTTTTGCTGTTGACAGTGGAATTTAAGAGTGAGCTTTGTGTGCTGGGGGCTTCATACCCTGTGCTCTAAACACTCAAAGTTAAAAACATTTGAACTGGAGATATGCCCTTCAAACAGGTTTTTAGTGGTCGCATAGCAACAGATCCATGACTAGCACATCCCAAGGCAGCTTCTAAGCTGTTAACTAAAACACAGGTTGTCAGTGGACACCAGCTTTTAGTGACAAAGCTAAAATCTAAATTTGATACGGTCGGATGTTTTAAAATTAAACACCACAATTCTGTCTTTCTTCACTTTCTTAACAAGGTTTTGTAATATGCAGCCTGAATCCTGTTAGCATAATCAATCTGAAAGAGGATGATGAATGGTGGAAAAGCCATGTCTATATGGTTGCAAGTGTTTAGCTTTAAACATATACTGTTTTTGAGATTTAAAAATATATATTTATTTGACGGCTCTCTGCGGATAGGATGATTTTTTTGTCCGGATAGTGTTGTGTCCTTAGAAATAGCAAGCTTTATCTGCTGGGTAGATGCACAGATTTTGTATCTCACTCTCCAAGACAGCAAAAATAGCACTTAACTAGGGGCCCCTTATTTTTACCCTTATTGTAGTTTTTGGAGTCCCCAGGTGAAAGCATCAAAGCATAGGAAACCTGGAAAAAGAAAGCAATGACACAATAAAAGAAAAAAAAGATTCAGCTGTTGGAACATAAATGACTTATATGGAAGAGAAAAAAAATCTACAACAAAAAAGTACAACACGGTGCCCAAACAAGCAACAACATATTCTGGCCACTGAACATA